ATGAAATTAAAGAATAAATAAAATAGATTAGTTTTTAAACAATGAATAAAAGACCACAAAATATTAATTTTAACTAAATTTGATAGATAATTAATTACTTCTTGATACCATTAAAAGCTATATGGATAACCTCTTTAACTTGGTTCACTGTCTCATAAACAAAACTCATGGTTGGCTTCTCATCTAAATTAACCAAATAAAGGATTTTAATTAAAGAAAATGACCCTTTAAACATATAAGAATATTCTTCCAAAACAACTTCCTCCACCTCCTATCTCTTGTCTTAGAAAACATACTGGACTTCCATTTATTACATGAGAACATTCTTAACAAAGCTCTTTTGTTCTGATGAAGGCACCCCAAAGTTTAAATATGAAGTGACAAATCGAGTGATACTGGTCTCACCAAATCTTTTCTTTTTGTAAACCATTGCAATAATAAAATGAGAGAAGTTCTTAAGTAAATATAGGTTGTGATTTTTCTGCTCTTTAGAATAGTTTCTTCATAGAGGGGTATGTTTTTCTCAAAGTCTTCCAACATTAGATCAATGTAATGTGCAACACAAAAAGTTCAGTATAAATTCATCCTTTTCTCCATAAATATTTCTTTAATAGCTTTATAGTTTGTTGCATTATCATTTACAATTTGCACTACATTTTCCTCACCAAGCTCTTCCATAACTTCATCAAGCATCTTAAACATTTTGTCAGATATTTTGGTTATGTGAGAAGCATCAATTGACTTCAAAAATATTATACATTTAAGATTGTTCACTAAGAAGTTCAGAATGATTTTCCTTCTTTTGTCAGTCTACCTATCTATCATATCATGCAATCAACACTCTTCCAAACAACCTTATGTTCCTCAATAAGGTCCATTGTCAATTTCACTTCTTGGTTCAAGTACTTCACTCTAATCTCATGATAAGAGAGTGGCTTAAATAATGTGTCGTGTCATGCAATTAACTCACACATGTTAGGAAATTATTCACTTCTTACTATGGCATTGTTGTAGGAAAAACCTTACAATTTCCTGACATATATCCTCCCTTGTACCCTTCTTAAATGTGTTGTTATTGTGGTTTATGGACCAAACACCCCTTTTCTTACAAAACTGACTGACCTCAGCACTCTTAACTTCAACACTTTTATTAACTTTTCTCTTTTCACCAATTTTTAAAGAGTCATTTGTGTTAGTTGATTTTTTATCAAGGAAGTAACAATCTCATCATCTCCTTATTCACTTCTTTAGAAGCAGATATGCAAGATTCAACATTTTGATTTGTTTTAGGCAAGTGGTGCTTTAAGCGATAAATACCTCTATTTAGCACTTTTTGGCAAAATTTGCACTGATCCTTCACAGTTCCTTGAAATAAAAATTCATATTTTAACCCCACATCACCCATATTTTCATGAGCATTTCAGAGAACCAACCTATGAGGCACACTTGACGAGCCCATAATAAAGGAGCTATTAGTTGCAGTTAGGAGTGACCCAGAATTACCACCACCTGAGCTTTAACCATTAGTCATGTTTAAAGAAGAAAACAACTTACAAGTCATTGTCTCCTTGTCAGTTTAGGATTCCACAAAGAAAAGAGAGCAAGATGAGAAGAAACTAACAAGAAGGATTAGGGCAAAGAAAACTACAAATAGATTGCAAAGAACACGACTAAAGATTGTACACCAAGTCACTTTGAGGAGGTTTAGGGTTCAACAAAGAAGAAAAGAAGGAATTAGAAATGTAGGACTTCATTCGTGACTAAGTATTAGTTGAAGTAGGCTCGAGTTATAAAGAATTTGGGTCAAGATCCAAATCTGACCCGCATTTTGCCAAAATTAGAAGTAAATCACGATTTCACCGATTCTATGATCTAAATTGCTATTTCATTGTGATTTTACCCTACTACAATATATGCTACGGTATACATCGTTTGGCTGACCAAAATCATAAAGTTGTAAGATTTTACAATTTAACTCCTGATTTTAACTATAATCATTCTAATAATGCTATTCAAAGCACTCAAGAATGTGGAAGAAAAGAACCCAAGGTTAGTCTTACATTTTAATCAAAGATTATGAAAATTAAGGTCTAATTCAATTCATATTAGCTTAATCCCTATTTTTGTTTGTATATTGGGACTAAATATTATATTTTTAATTTAAGTAGTTTATTATATTTTAAATTTGTAGGTTATATTACATTAATTATTAAGTCTTTAGGATTTTATATTTTATCATGTTTATTGGATTTGGTCATTACTAAATTCTTTTAGGGTTTCACTTTTTATTATAAGTATTCATGTAAGATTCTTTTTGGAGAAAACTTTAGTTTTGAATAAAAATTGAAGATTACCTTTTTTAGAGTACTTATGTGTCTCTTAGAATTCTTGGAAAGAACCATTACTTGAATCTTAACAAGAGTTCCTCACACTCTTGTGGCAATTGTAGATTGAGTTTATCATTCATCATTCTTCATTGAATTGAGTTTATGACACTTTCTTCTCTTCTTTTCTTTTCCATCTTTCTTATTTTTCTTATCATTACTATAAGTCATGAATATTTAACACAGCCAAATTGCTTTGTGGTTGGAGTGTTTAATTCTCCATATAAAAAATAAACCAAAAACTACAACATGTATCAAAATAAGCAACCTAAATAAAAAATTATAATCATTAAAATTCATGCAAAAGAATATTTTAACCTAAACAAAATAAAAAACATTCAATTTTGGTATAATTCATAAATTAATAGAAGGTAATTATGAACTTAAAATTAATTGTAGTTAAGATTTTTAGGAAGGATAAGGATATATATAATTTTATCAGTTGGCAAAATGCAATCAAACTAAAATCATAGAATTCTTAAAATTACATTGTTTACTTAAGTATATAAGTATATAGATGGGTTCAAGTTTTTATTTTAGAAATTACAATAGTTAGCAAAATACTATTACTGTAAAAATGACATTAAACAAATAATTCACTCCTGAATAAAAAGAAATGTACTAAGAAAATTACTTTTCTCTAAAGTATTTAGGTAAGAGTAAAATTCATAAATAATATACCTAAATATAATTATTTCAATTTTTTATACGATTGAATTACATTGTATGATATTTTTTTTAGCAACATTATCCTCATAATATATATATATATATATATATATATATATATATATATATTTAAGATAAGGTCTTCATCTCATTAAATTGAGTTGCAACATTGTCACTAAAACACAAAGTAATCTTAAACCCTAACAATACAATGTGACAAAAAAAAAAATACATTCATCAATTGCTATTTTTTTTTGCTAAACTACCTGAAAATATCTTTATGCAATTAGATAAAACTAAATATTTTAAGAAATTTAAGAAAATTGAATTTCTTGAAAGAAAAAGGAAATGTAAAAAGATTATTCTCTAAGAAAAATATTTAGATTTAATGTAATTTAACAACCTCATTTGACTGGCACTGTCTTAAGTGAAAAGTTGCAACTTGTCATCATCATCTTCGTAAAAAAATGGTGTAACATCGTAATTATGAATGCAAATAGGTCAAAAAATAATATCAATGTCCATAGGTGAATCAACTTTAACAAATATTCAATTATAAATATTAAAAGTTTAGATTATTTGTAAGGAATAAAATGCAAGAACTTATAAAAATTCCTTAATTATATAATATATTGATTTAATTCAGTTTTGTTATAGTAAAAATTAAATTCTTTTTAAAATTATTTATAAAAATCATTGTCATTTAAAAAAAAATCATCCTTCAAAACTCGTCATGATTAAAGATTAAAAATATGAAAATTTAATAAAAAAATATTGACATAATAATAAATAATAATAATAATAATAATAATAATAATAATACAATAATTTCTATACATAATCTATGAGTATTATTTTTAAAAGGGAGAGATTTTAGGAGTTAGGTCTCTTTTTTGTCAGGTCAAGTAAATTTCAATATTAAGTATTTATTTTTTATTTAAAATTAATTTGACTTTTAGCTATTTATATTTTTAATTTATACTTATCTTCTTAAATTTATTTATAATATAATAAAACATTTATTATTAATAATTAAAATATTTATTCTTTAAATTTTATTAAATTTAAAAATATTTATATAATATGTTTTTCATTATTTGTTGAAAAATATTTTAATTTAATAATAATTGTGTAATACATCGAAAAGCCATAGAAAAGTTAGAAGTTATCTTTAGTCTTGAAGTCATTTATTTATTCTAATACATCTTTAAAATATAAAATTAATTTTAGTTAAGTATTTATCCTATTGAATAGGTGATTAATTTATTTAACAAATTATTTTTTTTAAAATGTAATATATCTTAAATTAACTGTAAATAGTTAATATGTGAAAAATAAAGCAAATTCATGTTAGAGAGTGGCACTGAATGGTATAAATGTTTAGTATTAAGTTCGAGTGGGTTACAAACTATGAAATTGAGTTTTTATTTTGTAAGAAAAAATACTATAACATTATATTAGAGTTATTAATGACACCGAATTAGATTAACTAGTACTGTAAAAAAGGAATATAGATCAAAGTTAGTTTTATCCCATCTATGAAGTAGCTCATTAAGCCATGACCTTATTATTATTAAAAATATTAGTTAAATACTAAATTGTTTAACCCAACTCATGCAAATTAGAGTGAAGATATCTATGAGTTAGCCTTCACCTAAAATTACATTAAATTATCATTGAAAGAGATTAAGGTACAATGGGTGAGACTCAAAAACTAAAAATTTTAATCCCTTCTCGTTGCGATAATTTTGATTTCTAATATCCATGTGGGGCATCTTGTTTTAAGTTTCTATTTTTGATTTATGTTATGATAAATGTTAATTTCAATCTTATTTTTGAATTTTCTAATCTCAATAAATCTCGTTTATGAACCTGATTTGGGGTAATATGCTATTTTTGTGATGTGACGAGCTGGTCTTTTTGAGAGCTATACCAATGACACACAAAGTAGAAGTGGCCCAAATAAACCAAATACAGTATCTTAAATGGACTTGGACTCTCTTGCACAAAAAAAGAAAAGGACAAAATATACTGAATTTTGTAATTTGATCCAATTGCATATACTAACTCGGTGCCCAACGATGCTAGGCTCTCCTTTCTCTAAATCCCGTTTTTTCGGTCCAAAGAATAGTTGATGTTTTAATTTCACAATAACCCTAATTCCCAAATTGAATCACCCAAAATAACCAAAATTTTCTCATCTCCATTGATTCTCTTCATCAACCCAAATCGAAGTTCGTCGGTATTCGTTGCTTCGAACTTTAGCATTAGCATCACTGTTAGCTGATCTTCATCTTTCTCTCGTCTCTATTCAGGTATAGAAACAGATTCCATGATTTTCGAATTTGTTTATGTTATTGTTTTGGTTGCTGATTTCCTTCTTGCTTGATAAAAACTAACTGTTTGGTTGAATCTGACGTGATAAACTTTGCTTTTGTTTTGGGGTTTCTGAAATGCACGGGTCAGGTTTAGAAAAGGTTCAAATTTCCTGAGGACAAGTTTCCTGAGGACAGTGTAAGGTACTTTGTTGTTGGTGTTTTCATTGCTAGGTAACCAACCTCCCGTGGTCCATCATTTTGACGCGATTCCAAGCTTCACTAATGCTTCACGACTACATATTAGTAGTTTTTATTCATTAAACAGTCACATTCTCCAAAGTTTTATCTCGCTGTATGCTCTGAATTTTGTCTGGTATGCTTTCGACATCATAAATTTTTGGGTGATTGAGTGCATTTCTGGTGCCCAGTGCTTGTTAATGCCCTTATTGGTGTTTACATTCGAGCTAAATATTCTGTTCCTGTCGTTGCAAAGCAATTTTTTGACTCGTTATTATGTGTCATCGAACGCTAGTTGCACTTTGATTATGTTTAATGTTGCTTTCTGCTAATGGGATGTGGCTTTATAATGACATTCTAGGTTTATAAATTATAACAATTGTACACAGAAAGATCAACTCTTGAATTCATATTTTTTAACGTTGATTCTATTTGTGTGCTTTTAGGATTGATAAGGTTTTTTATTTTCGCCTTCGTCAGATACCAAGGGGTCTAATTTGTCATGACGACAGGATTTTTTCATGTACTGAAATAGAAAAATGTTATATAAGTGAGATCTTGTAAATAACAGTTAGATGAATATTTTTTTGTTTGGTTATAATCGTTTATGCTTTTTATGTTACTCTTATATGAGTGATTCTAATGCTTTCTGAAATAAGTAGTGCTTTAAAGCTAGAAAACCTACCGTTGAAATTAATACTTGATTGACTAGGGTGTTGCGACATCATGTTTCTGCTCTACCTGGTTTTAGATGGTTCTCACTGTACATTTTGCATTGTATTACTATTAATTAATGTTTTGACATTGAATTGCCTGCAGGTGTGAGGATAAGTGTGATAGTGATCTAAAAAGCAAGATGTCAGCTGGGCCTGGACTTGAGTCCCTTGTGGATCGTAAGCCATTTGTAACATATTTGTGTTTTGCTTTGATGTTTGATATTTTGTACGTAGATATATTATTAGCCGTGCTTATTACCGACAATTACCTGAGATATGCTATGCTAGTAGTTTCTATTTGCTACCTTTTATTTTACTGATCCTTTTGGTTGTTTACAGAGACAATTTCAGTGATTACAAATGATGGACGAAATATAGTGGTAAGCTTTAGTATCTAACCAAAAATAGGCTCTTGATGGTTTGTTGTATTTTAATAAGTGTCATGGCTCTAACTTCTAATTACAATGCATTACATTGCTTTTTTTTTTTTTCAGGGAGTCCTGAAAGGTTTTGACCAGGCAACAAATATAATTCTTGATGAGTCCCATGAACGCGTTTATTCTACAAAGGTATGCTTGAAATTATGCTGAAAATCTCCTTCAAAGATTAATAAGCCATAACTTCAATGAATGCAATGTAATAATATTTATATCTAGCTTGGCACTTGGCTGTTGGCTTTTCTATTGTGAGCATTCTCACTTTTGAGGGTAAAGTAAGCATATCTTTACCGTTCAGTGTTTGAATGGCTAAGATTGACACTTTCATTATAATTTTATTAAAGAATTAAATAATTAAAAAACACATGAAACTTTTCTCTGTTGCCCACTTGTTCTCTTTGTTAGACTACATACAAAGCTATCATGTGGTATCAGATTCTGCATAATATATCTGTGACCAAGAGACTTTTTTTTTCTATTTATAGTAATTACCATTTGTTGCAGAACTAGTTCAGTAATCCCAATTCCCCAAAATTAAACTGTTTTTGTGCCTTATATATTTGTCCATTTTATTAAAGAGATCTCACTGCCTTTGCATTTAATCAGTGTTTGCATATATTCATCCATTTGATTTGATAGGTATTAGGATGCTGTTGTTTCTGCTTCTATCTTGAAAACTATTTCTACAGATATTTATCTCTGCGTCAACAATGGTTGTAGCATTGTATTTTGTTTTGTATTGTGCTCCTCCTGACTATTTTTATTCTATACATAGCAAGCCTCCATCTTATTCTCCATATTTGGATCCTCAAGTGCAAGTGATCCAACCTCCAAATTTGTGTTTTGAATTAGAGTGCAAGAAATGTGCAGTGGGAGAGGAACTGTTAGATTAACAATAGCAGACAGTGAACTAAGCCTTATGTTTTTGGGTTACAAAGTCAATTGCTCAGATGTCTCCTGATGCCCAATCATGGCTTAGGTCATAGCCTAACAGGTGGAATGGGTGGGTGAAGGAGAATCTTATATATCTATATCTATCTATGTATCTATCTAAATTTATATATATTAAAAAAAGACTTTAATAAAATTATAATGAGAAGTGTTAATCTAAGTCATTGATACATCAGACAGTAAAGATGGTCTTACTTAAAGCTTGAGGGTTTTTGGTCATCTGTCTCAAAAAAATCCAAACTCATTAGTTTGTCTAAGCTCTATGTTTTGTTTAAGACCTATGACTTATTGTCAATTATGAATATGTCATGAATTTTGAGTACTTTTTAGTTTTTTAAGTATTTTTTTGCATATAGCCTAAATTATGTAGTCTGTATTAGAAATTTCAGAATAGCGGCTGTCCCATTGTAGCATTTTTACATGCTACTACCTATAATGTTCTTGGATTACAGTTGCATAAGTTTCACTTGTGCGTCTATCTACAGTTACATATTCTTTAATATATTTTATTAATCAAATCAGCACCTCATTGATATGGCAAATTGTGATTGTTAATTTTGGTATACCATCTCTTCCCACGATGACTGTGACTTTGAATCTTTCCTAATTATATATTAGCTGCATTTTTTAACTTTAAAGTATCATTTAAGTCAATTTTTTTGTCTTCCTGATGTCATCACCATTCTTGTTTCTAATGACAGGAAGGTGTGCAACAACTTGTTCTTGGTTTGTACATCATTAGAGGTGACAACATGTATGTCCTTTACTCCATCATTTTTCAATTTGTTTATCTTGTACATTTTAATATTGTAGCACTATGTAGATACTAGATACCCTAAAATTTGTATCATGTATGATTTCCCTTTGGTCATTGCAGAAGTGTTGTTGGTGAACTAGATGAAGATCTAGATTCTAGTCTGGATTTGTCAAAACTTAGAGCTCATCCCTTGAAACCTGTTATCCATTGAGGTGAAGTACAACGCATTGGTTGTCAATGGATGCATGCGTACTTTGTGGAAACAGTCTGAGTTTTGCTGCATTATATACAACAGTGTGCTGTGACAACAGCATAATATTTCTAAATATTCTGATTCTGTTTCTCGATGTTAGCATGTAAGACTTGCCAAACGAATGAATGCAACAAATTCCGCGACTATCTGAAGTGAAGAAACTATCTTTTATTTGGCCATCATATACATACAAACTATCTTCTATCTAACCGAACTATGTGAAAATCTCAGGTATAACCATTTATGTCAAACCTACTATTGTTGGGAGTACAGATAACAAAGCTTATTATTTTATTCTAATGAATACAAGAACTGATTAACAATTTTCAAAATTTTACTTTGAAAAAATTAAAAAAAAAAGTGATATAATTTAAAGAAAGTGCAAAATATAGAAGACCGATAAAGATGCTATGTTTCGTCCCCTTTTTTTGTTTAGTTGTATTACAAAGCGATGCGCAAAAGGAGAATACACAGTGCTACGGATATGCAATGATGAATGCTTTTTTCATCATTTTCGAAAGTTAATAATCCCTTTCAAAATCTTATTTTCAAAAAATAAAAAATAATGTATTTTTTAATGAAAAGTACAAAAGTAGTTATCATGTAGAATACGGTAATTAGCAGTTAGCACGCACTTTGATTAAAACAAATGAAAATTAGCACGCACGGGAACGTACAGCCACAGAATCTAACAGTTTAGATCAAAGAAAAAGTGAAAACAGATCTGAACAAGATTGTCCAAAGAACAAACTAGGGGAGTATAAAGTGTGGACCCGACTACTATCTGTTCAAACAGAATTTTAAAATTAACTTATTTGTGTAGATTTAGGTTAAGTAAAGTTATAAATTCAGTCTTGTGGGAATTTATTTGGTCGGAAACGGATAAAGATCGCTAACTAAACTCGACTAATTAATTTCTAGACAAAGTCACAGATAATAATTTATGCTTCTTTTCTCCTTTTTTCTCTATTTGATTTGTCTTCTTGAGCACACCTACAACATCCTTCGCTACTATCCAGCAATCTTCTTTTCTTCTTCATTTGCTTTTTCTTTTTATTGCACAAATGATGTTTCATCTTTTTCTGACTTCTAGTCACCCAACAACCTTCTTCCCTTCTTTCATTTTTTTTTCCCCTTTTCTCTTCCCTTCTCTTTTATTTTTTTCTTTTCTATTGCATTAATGATGTTTCATCTTTTCCATGTAGTGCTTCATCTTCACTAAACCCAGTTTAAACCACCCGTCCAACCTATTACATGCGTAACCTGTCACCCGCCTAACTCATTAGACTATTCAGACGGAAACGGCTTAAATTAATAAAAAATCAGATTATTTCGGTTCCATGCTTTTGAACCTGACCCACCCATACCCAACTGCTCTTCAGTTGTAGAACAAATCCTCCAATCGTACAATACCTACTAATTTCATCTATACACTACGTTAGTCCATTAACATTATTAATAATAATTCTTTGGCTTAATTGTACTTTTAGTCCTCCCAACTTTTAGCTTTTTTTTTTTTTAGTCCCCAAACTTTTAATTGAGTTATTTTAGTCCCCAACTTTTAAATTCTTTGACATTCAATTTTCAACTCGACGGTGACATAGACATTGGCGGTGTTGAGGTGTTAAATAGTAAGGATTACTAGTTATTGAGTTATTTTAAATATAATTATTTTATTTTAGTAAAATTACATGTATTTGTGAAGTGTTTAAAAATTAGGGTTACAAATTCAGATCTTTTGATTTGAAACTGTTCGTTAGACAAGTGTACCTGTCAAGAAATAATAAAAGATTCTAAAATAAGTTCTTGAAATATCGTCCTACAAGAATTGATTTTCAATTATTAAGAATTTTTAATTTAATCATTTGAGCCTAAAAGATGTGAAATTTCATAAGAATTAGAATTTAATTATAAAATTAATTATAAATAAAAGCAAATAAAACAACACACGTCTTAATTGAATTTATAAGAGAGAAACTTAGGAAGTATGAGTTTTCTCATTCAATCTTTTATTTTATTTTTTCATTTAACTCTAAATTTGATTTCCTTGTGATTACCAATCATTCATACAAACATTATTAATACCTAATGTTCATGCAATACTAATATTCTTTTCTCTAAATTAATATTCCAATGATCATGCAAGACATCAATTAAAGAAAGCATAAAATACCTATAAACTTGTTAATTTAATAACCATTGGAAGAGAAAAATTGATTTGGTCTACTTAATCCTTTGTCTCATTTTATCCTATAGATCTATTAACAAATCGAGGTATGGTCGTCTGACGATATAATTAATTAGGATTATAATTATGTGCAATAGGATAAAAGCTAATCACAAACGAAAATCAAATATAGATTTAAACTTCAAAATTTCATAAATTCATGAACAATAGTTTTCATCGCTCTAGCTATGGACTTAGTTACTCATGCTAAAGAGAAGAACTAAAGCAATCATAAACAAAGTCATAATCAAAAGAAATAGCAAACTAGAGTGTGAGATGAGTTCCCAGTTTTCAAGTACGATCGTTCAAAGCTCTAAGTCCCACCAAGAGTATGCTAAAGATCCTGTACAAGATAAACGAGATGAGAAATGTATCAGAGAGTAAAAAATAAGATGTAAATGATGTGTCCAACAAGATGCCTCATGTATCTCTTTTATAGGGTTTGAAAACCCTAAAAGCTCTTTATAATTGGGCCTTCCGCGGATGAGTATAGTCGTGCAAATCCTTGTTGAAAGGGTCTGGACATGCTGACTACTGCGCAACACAGCTCTGATCTTTCATCAATTTGAGCCCAAAACGCACCCAAAATTCACTTGTGGCCTCTTCATACTAAACTGCACATTTAACATATAAATTAGTATAAAATCCAATTAAAATAAAGGCTAAACATATATGGGCTGTAGAAGAGGGTCTAATTACAAACTTATCAGAAACTCAAGTCTAAGAAAACCTCAAATTAAGAAGATCGAGCATAAATTCGTTGAACGGAGTGAGAGGATTATTGCTAGATTTACATATAATAGAGTAACATCTTTAACAGAATATGAATGCTTATTAATTTTGAGAGTACAAGTCTATAAGAGAGATAAAGGAGAATCTCAATTTAGCAATCCACGGACATAGAAGGAAAGTAGGACAGAGAATCCTTTGGAAAAAGGGTTGAAAGATGTCAAAAATTATGTGTCAATGTATGTCATTTTTCACTTACTTTGCATATGTTGGAAGAAGCCATATATGTGGTCCTAACTCAAATGGTTTAGGGTTTTGTCAATTTTGATGGTCCCCTGGTGTGTAATTTTGAGTTAAAAGTGTGGTTTCTATATAATTTTAATTTTAAAATTCTTTTTTTATCATATTTTGTAGGTCAAGTGAACATCATGTCAATAAATCAAAGATACACAATGGTGAGTTGACAAAGTTACTAAAAAACATTATGCATCCCTTCTTCAAGCACTTATGGTACAAGGATCCAAAATTCAACCTTAGTGATGGTTTAAGATCATTAGATTGTTATAAAAATATGTTGAGGTTTTCAGAGGATGTCTGATAAGTATGTATTTTGGTATATTTTTATACCTTATATTTATATGCACAATGCTTGTTATATTAATTGTGCAGTTTAGAATTAGAATGACATAATTAGACTTTAGGTGTATTTTGGGCATAAATTAGATGAAAATAGTTTCACAACAATAAGAATGCCCATACCTCAGTAGTTAGCATGAGAGTGTTTTGAGTCACGTGCATAGTCATGCTTATGGTCTTACATACTCATGCTTACCTACAAAAAGCCCAATTATGAAGAAACAATATGATTTTGAAACTCTATAAAAGGGACTTCATAGGCAATGACTTAGGCTGTAACACCTTCTTTTTCTTAAATGCTTTATTTGTTAATATTTATTTATTAGATTTTATTTTAAATTAGAAGTGTATGAATGTTGGTAGCTGTAGAGGTCTCGCTCAAGCGAGACTAAGTTTTCTAGACCAAACGTTATACAACATTTTTACTCAGGCGAGAAGGGATCATGTCACCTCAACTGTCCTCTCTTATGAGCTTTCTAGACTCATTCTCACTCAAACGAGAATGTCAGAAAAGTTTGGAAAAACTATTGTATGATGTTTTCGCCCAGATGAGAGAGGTCTTGCCTAAGTGAGAGTTCACTTACTCAAACGAGAATTTGCAAGTTTTGAGGAGTATTTAAGGGATTTTCATTCTAAAACTTGCATTGCAATCCAAATTATCATTTCTCTCATTTCTCTTTGACCTCTCATCTTCCTTCTTCAAAGAAATCTCCTTTAAACCCCAAACCTTCCTTGAATCTGGACTTGGACATTCGTTTCGATCGAATCCAAGTAAGTATTTTGGAGCTCAGTTCTCTAATCTTTATCCTATTCTCTCTATTTTCTTTTTCTTTAAGGTACTCTCTCTTGTGATATCTAAGAAAAACTTAGTCCTTTAAATGATATCTTTTACTAATCTTCTATGAATTTTTTCCCTCAAGGTAAGGAGAGCTTTATCCCATCATTCAAGTGTAGTAAATATTATGTACTTATGAAAGTGCTATGATATGTTTCTTGCTTAAAAATATATGGTTGAATGTTATTTAACTATTTGTGAACAGTTAATGATGTATGTTTGGTTAGTTTGGAGTGATTATACTATATTTCTATATTATATGTGATAAAGACTTAGTCTGGAAGCATTTTGAGTAAGTACAACTAGAATAGTTGAATGATGAGAATAAGATGAAAGGGAGGATATTATGAGTAAGAGATAATGAAGGAATTAGTGGGTTACGCATGGAGGAACAAATTGCCATTGTTGGAATGCACATATTTGGTTCAGCTATTCTGTGGTTTAAGATGACACAACATGTGTTGCCTTTTATATCATGGACACAGTTGAAACGCTCCATGGAGATAAAGTTCAGACGCTCATTGTTTGAATCACCTCAATAGTCACTCTTCAAACTCTAGTAACAAGGTATTGCCTCGGATTACTATTCTAAATTTATTACACTAGCAAATCGCATGAATATTGAACCTTCAGAGGCTCTACAAGATTGTTTCATTAGTGGGTTATGCATGGAGATTAGAAAAGAAGTGAAGGCTCAATGCCCACCCTCACTGATGCATGCAGTAAGTTTAGCCAAACTTTATGAAGATAAATTCTCTTCAACCTTCTGAACAACTCTAGGGCCCAATACAGACTGTAACCCCACATAAAAACCCATAAATCAAACTACCCCCGAGACCACCACTATCACTACTCCTCCCCACT